TCGTCTAACCAACGACGACACGAGTGCTACGATGCACCCTCGTTCACCCCCGTGTAAACACGTATCTCGCGAACAGCCGTGTTTCAGCCTAATCTGGCCGAACTGTTTCGCGGCCAATATGGCGGATTACGCGTTCACGCGATGCGTTGGCCACCACTGTTGCCTCCGTCGACGGTCCCAGCGACGCTGACGCGAGGCGCCGCGACGTGATCCTACCCGCGCCGCGCCACCGCCACACCGTAAAACGCCGACGCCGACGCCGACGCTTACGCCGACGCTCACGCCGACGCAGCCCGGACGCCCCCGTCCACCGCCTGCCCAAGAGTTCATGCTCGCGATCCTGCGTGCGAACGACCCGCCGATGGACACAGCCCTGTCTCTCTCAATCCAACCCAATGGACGTTCAGCGATCCAACGGGACAAAAAGCGGGGAACAGCGGAGTTTTGTCAATGAGTCGAGGGATTAAATTTTACTCGACCAATTTCTTTCGGTTTCTAGATCTAAGCTTATTTTGTAAAGAAATAAAAAAATCGTTTTACATAGATGGATGGTTCATTTCATTTAATTCCTTTCATATTTGAAGGGCAGTGAAAGTGGAAATTGTAAATGAATAGTAAACACGTTTCACGACCGATTATAAATTTCTCCGAAGTTATCAGCCCGTAGGGTGGATCGCTGTAACAGGTGCCGCATCTCGCGTGGCTCGCGCGCAACAATACGCGTGTGATGTAGGTGAGAATAATAAGCGGTGACGCGTACCACGTGCAACACAGGATGACGTCGAGCTTTGACGTCGACCAAGTATACTTAATCTTATCGTTTCTGAACTTGCACTTCTCTCAGAAGCTTTTGCTTTTTTTCTTTGATCCCGCCTATCGTTCTCCGTTATCAGAATCTTCGAAGAAACTCTTACGACAGGACCGTTTAAGAACTTCAATAATTTGTCAAATTAAAATTTATACCTTCTTCGTGACAGATTCGAAGGAGTTACAAGTTTGTTTCAGTTCGATGAACGTGTTAGAGATTTATTTAACAGAGTGTAAAGTTTGTTTTCAACTCGATCGATCCTCTCGATTTCGCGTGCCACTTTATCCAGCAAGAACATTACACGCGTATCATAATTTTCCAAAGCGTTTACGCACGTTCATACGTCAGCCCGTGTCATCTTTTATGCGACAACAAACACTTTTACCCTCCTTAGCCTGCACTTGCTTATCGTTTATTTATAACGAACGTGTGTACGAACCGTGTGACTGTGCACTCGCTCGCAAAATATTCTCTCCATCAAAATAACTAAAACTGTAAACTGTGAACTAAAGTTCCCATTGAAACTTCGCTTCCTTTTTAACATAAATATACCCGAGAAAAGAAGGGGTTTATTATTCAAATTCCTTTTAAATTTATAATAAACGATTAAACTTACGGGTATGAGAATTAAAAATTTCGATTGATAAGCATGTCTTGTAGCGTTAGGAGTAAAGAGGGTAGACGTCATCCGGTGACATAAATAAGGGGTGTTTTCATCGACTTCGCCCTCTGATCTTTTCCATTTACTTACGCGCCGGAAGTTGTACACTTCCGACACGATACTGCCGACATCTACGCTCGTCGAAATCAACCTTAAACGGAAGTCAAACGCCGATAAGGAAACCATTAAGAACGTTTTCTCTCCGTTGGTAATACAGTTATCTGCGATTTGGTCAGCTTCGTGATCTTTCCTGCCGCCACTGCCCTCGGTCTACCTAAAATTGTACGACGAACCCTAGAGGAAAGGAACAATAAGTAATTTCTTTGAATTGCCTAAATACTTCCTCGCGTTTGCAAAAGAAATTTTCTATTTTATAAATTTATGAGCCTTAGGGCTGTTCGCGCGATTTGAAGAAATAAAATCTAATTAATTGAAGTAAAAAGCTTGCGAGATCTAGACATTTTTCTAAGGGAAATAAAAATAATTTCTCTCGTTGCCAGGAGCGACTCTTTCCAACAAAATCTGATGTGTCATTGCCTAAAACGTAGCGTCTATAGAAGAATATAAATCTCCTATAAAAAACTCAGCTAGTCTGCCAAGCACGTAGCAAAGTACCGAGTGCATCCTGTATAGAAGGGATTTCCGTCCAAGCAACCCCTATACGATCTAACGACCTCCTTCAGCCTATTTGAAAGTACGGGCCTGTGAAGACCCAAAGTTGCAGACCCCTTCCGAAGAAAGGTTCCCTCGTCAAGGATCTGGAAGGGCCTCTGTAAATTCTACTCCCTCCCCAACGAATCCGCCCCTCGACAGGCAGACAGTTCTCTCCACATAAGCGAGTGAACACGTGTAGGGAGGTTTACTTCTGTGTGTGTGTTGTGTGGGAAGGAAGACAGGCCAACGGCGTTGGAGACTATAGCTACACACACAGATATAGATCATATACAAGGGACAAGCACCCAACACGCTCAGTGATTCGTTGCTCGTGATGGATATTTCAAACTCCCTCTTGCAAGTTTTTAAGCAATTTATAAATATTTCTACAACGTCTTTATTTTAAATGCTCGTACGAACGAGGGTTGAACTTCTGAAAATATAAAAATTTTTCAAACCAAGGATGTGTTTTCGTGGTGGCTGAAAAGGTGACTTTCTTAACTTATAATATAATGTTATGTATCGGTTGTTGCTTAGATTAGGGATGGGTAGCCATTTCATTTCATTTCCGAGTGGTAAATGAAATTGAAGTTGATTTTTAACGACAACGAAGTTTCCAACGGCGAAACATTATTTCATCCTTTGAATTTATTTTGAGTCATAGAATTCCCCTCACCCCATTCGTGTCACGACACATGACCCACCCTGTATTTATATTCGAAACGCTTCATAGCCGATCGCTACCAACACGCTCGCAGTGATCCGTCGCCGTCGCCGTCGCCAACATCATCCTCGTCGTCCTAGACATTTCTCCCGCTGGATGTGTGCTGCAGAGGGAGGGAGGATGAGGATGAGGATGAGGTGGAGGAGGAGGAGGAGGAGGAGGAGGAGGAGGAGGTGGAGGGAGGAAGGAAAGGAGGGAGTGGAGGGAACAGGCTCGACTGCTCCCCCTAATACTGCAGGATTGAATGGGCGAGGAGGGTGGTATTGGGTTCCCTCACCCCACTCCCACCACCCACACGCTGCTGCTCCCAACCCACCCGCACCACCCACTTCTGTCCGCCTGCCACCCCGCCTGCCCACCCACTCGCCACCCGACTGCCGTCGAGGAAACAACCTGCAACCGAACCAGCACAACGTTTCCTCGAACAACGAATTTCCATCGAGGTGAGCCTGCTTCGTCGCCGCGGCAACAACCCGATATACCCGGTAAGTAAACGCACCAACAATCTCCACCATCTCCGTCTCGCGATATGACTCCCTTTCATTTTTCCTTTACACCAAGAACACCTCCCCACCTATCCGTATCTTTCTCCTCCTTCCGTTTTTTTTCCTCGTGCTCGAAGAGTCGTCAGCCGATACTCGAACCGCGTTCCATGTGCCTGTGATTCATCGTGGACTCGAACAATTTTCCCCGATTCCGCGCAGTGTGACGTCGTGTGTCTGTGCTCGTGCTGGGAAAGAATCGTACAGGAATATCGCGGAGCAGAAGCGACGTCGAGTAAATTACATGAGCGAGAACGAAGCGGTGGGACGAAGAGTGACAACGCGTCGGAGTGGGACGAAGCGAAGCCGAAGAATGCCTGACGCGGCTGAACGGTTCTCTGGATCGACGAGCAAAGTTGCGTGGTGCTCGCCGAGAGAAACGCGAGCCGTGTCCGTGTCAGAGAGGACGCGATCGTCCGTGGTGAGGCAGAGACAGCACGCGTACAACGCCGGTCCGCGCGCGAGTGGATCGCGCCACAGCCTGGCCTCGGTGCACGGTACGCGTACGAGTGAAGAGAACACGGCTCGATATGCACCGCGTGTGCGTGACTCTCCGCTGCCAGGCCCGTTTCATTCTCGCGTATCACCGCGTGTGTGCGAGCCACAGTCGCCGCGGCTACTTCCGCGCCTCGGCTCGCGGCTCTTCCGTGTCACGGCGATGTCCAACGTCGGGAAAAATGAACAGGAAACGGCGAATCTTTCGACGATCCACGCGCTTAGCCCACGGTGTCTTCCATAGAACTATATATTTATAAATCAGCGTGTGTGCGAGCGCGAACGCGCGTGCGCGCGCGCCAGAAACGACGAGACCCGCTCGTCGTCCTTGGTTAGTCGGTAATAATTTCCGGATGAATTTGAATGGCACACTGCGCGCGCCTTCTCTCCCACTCCCTCGTCCTCTCCTTCTCCTTTCTGTTTCTCTCTTCCTCCACTCCTCCTTCCTCTCTCGTCCCTATTCTTTTTCTTCGACCGTGTACTACCTCCCTCTTGCTCGACCCACCCGCATCGCCCCTCCAGGCTTAACTTTTCTTCGGAGACAGCGGTGCTCAACCGGCGCAGAAGTGGTGCCATCGTGGGCCATCGTGCACCCTCTTCGTCGCCATCTGTCGCCATCGCTCGAGGGTCGTGTCCTCGATCGCTCGGAGGGGAATATTGATTTATTCCTCGGTCTAACCCCTTCCACGAATCGTCTTCTATCTCCGTTCAACTTCGTACCACCCCTGGTATCGGTGTAGACCGGCGCCCTGTACTTGTGCGCGCGTGTGTGTCGGTTGCCAGAGGGTTGCCGGAGACACTCTCTTTCTCTTACCCTGTGCGCATTTTCCGCTCACGCGGCAGCCAACGGCGGGGCCGATCAATACGCGGGGCTGGCTTCTTCCTCGTTCCGTACGACGTACCGTCGAATAAACGTGTGTCACGTAGCCATGTACTCGACACGGGATCGAAATCAATCGATCCGTTGGGTACCAAGGGGTGGGATCTAGCTCGATCGCCACTCGCGATGGGGTACGTGTCGATCGGCCGGCTAATGAGGAACGTTATCTAGGTAGCCAGGATCGATTTTCTACGTCGAGCCTGTTGTTCTAGCGCTTTGAAGTTTCAAAGGTACGTGCCCCTTTATTTCTTGCCCGGTTTCGAGGCTACGGGCTGAAAGAATCGCTTGCCATATTGAATGGGGCTTTTTGTAAGCGGCATCCTTTATCTTCGACCATTTCGAATATCTCCGAACGGTTGAAACAAATATTTTCTCTTTACGAATTCGACTTATATTTCTATTAAAATCGGTCCATCGATACTTTCCAGAGTATCTTCTTTTATCGAAATGCTCTATTTAATAAAGAGGTCGGATAAATTCAGATCGGTGTTGAAACTTCGAACCGTAGGTGGTAGTCTGTTGATCGTCTGGATAGGCAATGTTGAATTCGACGCGCCATGTGGCTGATTCATCTTTCTCCTTTCCTTTAATAATCCTCCTTTAGAAATTCTAGGAATCTTTACGTCATATTGTACGAGGAGGTTAATACACGAGTTTTCAGAGGGTCGCAATACTGTTCGTGACGTTGGTTTCATTGGCCGACAATGGTTCGTCTTTACGCTCGATTGGTTTCAAGGATCCCTTCGCGAACGATCGACCTTCCCCTTGCGTTTGAAGGATGGCAAATGGAATTGGCAGCGACTCGTGTTTTAACTAATTACGTTCCAACCTTTTGTTATCACCCACGATACGGACTAATCGGGTAATTGATGTCGACGATTATTCAGGCTTGTGGATATTTCATTTCAACGAAGATGGATGTCTATTGAAACATAGTTCGAAGTTTAGCTTAAAAGTGTCCTTTGATCGATTGATTTTCGCGAAGACCGAGAATGGAAGTTTGAGAAGAAGTGGGTCTCGGTTAGCGCGACAAAAATGGAGTACCATTCGCTCGTGTCGCGTGAATGCTTTCAAAGGAAACGAAGGTTTGCTTTTATTCCAGTTCCAAGTGAAAATCGATACCTCTTTTCAGCGAGCCTCTACATTGTAATTTCGCTCCGAAGGCGAAAGATTTCCTCGTTCATGAATATTTAACACGCTATGTAACGCAATCAGGGACGAATTTTTTCCCCTCTCCACCATGCTCGTCGCTCTTGTCCTCTACGCGAGAGGATACACCGAGAAGAGTTAAGACTGCTCACGCTCGAACGAATCATGAAGTGGTCTTAACTTCGATCGAGTTTCTCGAGATGCTCGGGAAATATCCGTAATTGCTCCTCGTTCCTTCTTCATTATCGTGATCCCTTTTAAAAGAACACCGGATTCCCTCGAGTACCTTCCCGACATCCTTCGACATTCCTTAAACGCTTCTTCTATCCTTTGAAGCACCAGCGAATTGGAATAAACGATGAAGCTTACCTCTAACCTTTCGTTATGGAATTTCCACTTCCATTCTGCCAGGACAGCCATTACGTTTTTCAAGCGTGTATTGACCCCGTATTTACGCTGAAACGCGGGTAGAATGTCCTCCGCAAAGGGTTGGAATTGCGTTACGTCTCTATTGTTCCGTTTAGGTTGGACGACCGAGCGTTCGCTTCAGTTAAACCTCATTCACGCTTTGAAAAATTCCACTTGATTTCAATTTGTTAATCGATATAAGTGAATTACAACAATTTTTGCAAGTGTAAATTGCAGCTTAACGCGTTCCCTGGAGCGAAGTTGAATTTAGAACCGTGTTTCTGGCATTTTCCATAGCGATCGAATTGATTCCTGCTGCTTTGCAAAACAAGATGTTTCAGTCTGTTGCGTTTCACTCTGCAGCTGAACATATAGAAGATAAGAACGGGGGGAGAAGTTTGGGAGAGTTTCGAATATATCTCTGTACAGTGAGTGCACGTTGCATTAAGACCATGCTTCGATACTCCTATTCTGATTGATTTCAATATTGCATCGGAGATATTGGAAACTGGTACTAGCTTTTAGGAATTGAAAACAGCATTGATTTAACCAATTAATTCGTGTTAGATCCTAATTTTTGTACCGGCGAAAAAATGTGAAAAATACTGTAAAAGAACAAAGCCTTGTTTATATCCGTTTTATTATTCAGAGGGATAAGGGATCGTTCGCTTATGCAAATGAGCCACTTAACCCTCGTACAGAAAATTCAAGTCTTGGCGGTGATTAAAGGAAGCGCCTTGCCAAGATTTAATTAAGGTTCGATGAGCCAATTAGCCCAGTTTATCGATTCGTCCCTTTCTCTCTCCGTTCTAAACGATTCTATGAAAATATTACGCTCTCGAGCGAGCCAAACGAAAAGAAAAAGGAAATTAAACGGAGAACGTAGGGAAGAATTGGCGCGGGTGAATGTGGGTTGTAAATTAGTGGCCGCCGAGGGAGGGTAGTTTGGGAAAACTGAGGAGAGGAAATGCGTTTCAGGGATTATTAGTAACCCTGTAACCCTGCTTACGACCACGATTTTCTGCGCAGGTAGACGAGGGTTTATTGTTCCAAAGGTGAGCGGCGACGGGCGGAAAAATGGAAGGAAGCGGGACTGGAATTAGCAGGCTCGACTGCTACGAGGATATGTTTAAGGAAATCACTAGGAAACTGTACGGTGAAGACCCTGATCACAGAAGTAAGTTCAAGTTTTTATGCAGAAATTAAATAACAAACATTTGCATTCACAGTTCTGCGAATTCACAATTGCGAAATCTATAAATTTAGTCAAAGTTTTAATAAAAATTCATTATGTAAAATTGAATATCTTGTTTATGGTAAATAACAGATGCAAAATTCAAGTTAATTTATGGCTAATTTTAGCATTAATTGCTTCGACGGTATTCAAATTTAATGTATTTTGCAATATGTTCAGGGTCATTAGCATAAAGTATAGTGAAAATAGAATTTCGATATGGCAATAAATATCAACCGGAAAGTAATAAATATTTCTACAAAATTAGAATACTCTAGCGAAATTTGCTGTACGTTTCATGCTATTATTATTTCATATATGTCATTAATATGCGTAATGATATTCTCTTGGGGAAGGAGCGAAATGAAATTGCTAGAGAGCGATATTAATTAGTTTTAATTATTCCCAGCAATTGTCCTATTCTATTTTAATTAAAAAGAACTGAGTAATTAATTTTTCGTCCTCGTCACAGCGTCGAGCGTACAGAACGAATTCGAGACATCGGTTTCGTACAAGAACGAAGAGGACACCGGAAACGGAACCGACGGTAGCGACGACGGAAACTGGACCTGCGAAGAGGAGCCGCTCAAAGGAACCGACGGTAGTCGGATCGCAGCTTATCATGCTGGAAAAGTTACATGGAGGTGTTACGAATGCGGTTCGTACTTTATCTCACAAATTTTCATAAAAGAAAATTTACTCATCGTATCCCCGTGAGTCACAAACGACGCTCGTTGAATTACTACATCGACGAGTCGATAGCGCAAGTAGGGAACGTATTATCGAAATAACAGGTCAACGAGCACGAAAGACCCCAGGTTAAATCGAAGAGGTAAACAATGCTAGGCTGCAACCTAGCTGTTCGCTTATTCGAACAAAAGGAAGTTTTATTGTCGCCCCACACGGCCTGTTTCCGCGGCTAATTTCCAACCTTCTGTGTCATCGAGTTGCATCAAACATTCCGTTTCTGTCCATTCGAATGGAAACTACCGACTAAAGTCTAAAGTAATACGATAAACAATTCTCCCAGTTCGTCCTAAATATGTATCCAGTGAATACTCTTCAAAATTAAATTTGGCCCAATGATTGATCTTTAAAATTAAATTCGATACAATGATCGCGAGGAATATTTAAGCCTTAAAATATTAAAAAAATTGAATTGTTTAACAGGCGACGTGATGGGGGGCGGACCCCGCGATGTGGCCGAACACTTCATGGAACTTCATTCCTCGCGAATTCTCGCAGACGACAGCAGGAACAGGCATAATTCACCGCGTAAGGATTACCTGCAGTCGGAACTGAAAGTCGAAGACGTGATTTCGTACCTGGAGAGGCTACGCGAGCGTGCGGAGCGAGTAGCGCCGCCGTCCAGAAGGACCCAGGAGACCCAAACCGTACCTGCCGCTTTATTACCGGTCACCTCGACCTTTCTGCTGCAGGAGTTACCCTCCGCCCCTGCGCCGCAACATTTGCACCAGGTATGCGATACTAAATTCTAATAACGAGGAAAAAAGATTTCCTTATAAAGGATAACGAAGAATCTTCTCGTTTCACAGAATACAACGACAATCCCGACTTCAGCCACGGTGTTGGCGAGCGGAAAACGATACACCTGTCCATACTGCCCGTACGGAACCGATCGTCGCGATCTGTACACGCGCCATGAAAACATTCATCGCGAGGAGAAGCCTTTTCACTGTTACATTTGCTACAAACCGTTCAATCGAGCCGATCACGTGAAGAAACACTTCCTTCGGATGCACCGTGAACACGGTTACGAGTTGTCCAGGATACGCAGACCAGTTGGGTCCGATCCACCGAAGCCTCTTCAACAAGAGTCATCAACTGCGAGCACTGCGAATGCGAATACTAATGGCCAACAACAACAACAACAGCAGCAGCAGCAGCAGCAGCAGCAGCAACAACAACAACAACAGCAACAACACGCCAATTACACCTCCGGGTTTAATAATAATAAGAATTACCAGTTGCAGCCGAATCCTGGTAATAATGCAACTGCGAACACTGCTGCGATTTATCAGGGAACCTCGATGCCTGCACCAGGTATCATGCAACCGGATGCAGGGAATTGTAACACCGGAAGAAGGGTGCAGAATGGAGGATGCAATAGCAAGAGCCATCTCAAGGGAGGCTCTAAGGGTGCTCAAGAACGGAGGTGAGGCTAATGATGAAAGTATTAATTTTGTGAGAATGTTGCATTCGAAGGAGGTGAGTTAATTCGAAGGATTAAAAAATCATTTGACTGATTAGGCGAATCAATTTTTCAGGTACACTTGTTGCTACTGTTCCTGGAGCGGCGTGGACAACTGGTGCCTGAAACGGCACCTGAACACGCACCTTAAACCCTTCGCGTGCACCCTTTGCGAATACAAAGCAGCCCGCGCTGAACGTCTTGCCACTCATGTGCTCAAGGTGCACAACAGACGGCAGTGCTCGAGATGTTCCTTCCTCGGCGAAGACGCGGCGCAGCTGCAGATGCATCAGTTGCACGTGCATCGCGTGAGCAGCGCCAATGCACCTGCGACGTCCACTGCTCAGGCTGCACCGCCGCCGAATAATCGTCATCAACAACCCTTGCAGTAAGAATGCGTTCTTCGTTCACTTTTATGTAGTCTTGGAAAGATTTTTCGAAAAATTTCATAAATTTAAGGCTGACTTTTAAAGATTAAATTGTAATCGACATGGTAAACATTTCTGTAGTACAAAGCGCGAGTCGAAAACGGGATTTGTGAGGTCAGCATTCGAAATTCGCGTAGCTGTTCGAGCATTTATCAATGGTCGTTGGTTAATTGGATAAATCGAACGGTGTGTTTGGTTTAACGGTGCCACGGATTTGAACGTTTCCGAAAATCCTGACGCGAACGGGAAATTCATTAAAACGATTTCATTGGAAGCCGATCGCACGCGACTGATCCATCGGCGTTATTTTTTGAACCACCTGTCCCGTGGCCAAATAAATGTAACGAGCAAGCGGATTCTAAACTTCAATCACGTGTTTCTCTTCCGCGTTAGCTGTCTTTAAACAGAATTATCTCGGACCTCGTGTGAATTTACCGAACTCGCAACGGTTCGTTGATTTTGCGGTGCTCGAAAACACCCTTCGCCCGGATTAAACGTGATTTTCGAACGCTTAATTAATTATAATTCCCTCGTTAAACGCATTTGTTTCGCAGTAGTATTCGAGCATAAATATTTTTGATATTCATGGTAACAGCTGAGGCGTGTTTCAGAAGAAATACAAATTATATGAAATGAATGTCAGGGGAGAAAAGTATATAGAGAAATTTCGCAAGTGCTTCTAGCCTCCAGAGAAATATCCGAAAATACTTGCAGAATGGTTACCATAAACGGGCAGTGTAAAATTGTGGATCGCACTAGTGTCGTAGCTCATCGATAATTCACGAATGGCATTATTTATCGTGTAATTATCAAATTTACAGCCCCGCGGGAGGAGGACGACCACCACCTGGTCCGCCAGTTTTTCCAGCACCAGCACCAGCCATCGCACCTGGTACCACCGTCATACCACCAACAACGATACTCGGGTAAGCATCCTGCTCACTTCCGGTCCCCACATCCTCTCCCTCTCTGCTGTTTATTTTTATTTTATCCCCTTGCGACTTGTCGAGTCATTTTTGCTGAAAACTTTCTTCGATTCTAAATAATCCAGAAGCTAACTCTGGTAGTTAATTAAAAGCAATTTGTACCAGCTAGAATTTAGACCGCTTGAGATGATTTCAAACGACGCAGTTTTCATTGATAGAGAATTCTAATATTCTTTTGTATCTTTTATGTATCATGATGTTGAATACTGTGAATACTATCGATGAAAACTGATCTTTAAGCTATCGTTCTGGTAATAAAACGGCAAAGCCGATATATACGAAGAGATACAGCTTCGTGTACAATTACGTTGCAAGTGCGATTCCTGCGCTTATTTTTGTTTTCGGAATTCTGTGTTCGTTCATGTTGCTAGGTCGACGTATTTTCGGCGGCAGGTTCTTATAATAGATTCTTCAAATATTTTCAAACGAATCAGATTGTCTTGAATGCAGTTTAAAATGAAATCGAACGAAAAGCTTGACTTGCCGCCGAAGTCGCTCGTCACCCGCTCTCCCGCCCTCCACCTCCATTTTATGTTACGTTGCAGCGTCATTTTTTGATTTAACGTTTGTTCTTTCTTTTGTCTTTTCTTTTTCCATTTGACTCGCTCGCGTGTGCACGCTTCGTTTGTCTGCTTTCGGTGTCGCCAAGACACGCGTGTCGGTGCACGGTCCCGTGCTTTTTCACTGTTCTATGTCGTTGTCACTTTCCGTTATTTTTTTTTCTTTCTCTGTCTGACTAAAATATACAAAAAACAAAACCAAAAGAAAAGAAGCGTCGTCCCGTCGCACGGTCGACGGACGCTCCGTTCGTTGGTAGAAAAATGACGCGAACGTAACTTATGGAACAGTGCCGCGGTGGTTGCAGCCACGAGATGGTAAACTCCCCTGCAACTGCAGCGACAATGGCGTACCCGACATTGGAAGAGGAGAGGCGGTCGAGCGGCCACGAGTACGAGCATCATCGTCATCGTCAACGAGTCCGCATCGTCGCCGAACATCCTGAGAAACAGGATACGAACTTGGACGACGCTCCAGTTGCCAGCGTCGATACCGCGATCATACTTAATCGTGATTTTGCGTACAGCTATCGAGCCGTTGCCGAAGCGACCGAGGGTCAGTCATCCTGGGAGCCATCCGAGTGCCCTTGGATCTGGGCGAACCAGAGAAGCCGCAGACGCTCTAGGAAACAGAGCCTGCCGAGAAAGGTGACTTGCATCCAGGATTTCGAGGACGACGAGCTACCCTGCCTCGATGGGAAGAAACAGGACACTGGACAAGAGGATACCACCAATTCGGTGTCCAATAAGGAAACACCTCAAGTGGAGGTGGTGAACGAACTGAGGAAGAGGTACCGGTGCAGATCGGATAGGGAATTGCTCAAGTGTCGCCTGTGTCCCGACGATGCACTTGCCAGAGGATCCATCTGTCGACCGTATCATACCAAAGCTTCTTTAGCGCTTCATAAGTACTGGAGACACGACAGGCGCAAAAGATGCCTGACGAATTGTGCGACCAAGCCTCATCCACCGTCACGTGTGTCTTCTATCACGCTGAAGGCTACGGTTTTCACCAGCCCCGATTATGGGTACCATAGATAGCACTCGGTGTCTAGGGGCGCAGCGATGCTTAACCGATGGGGTGGATTTCAAATGGCAGCACCGATCTCTGCCGTTTCTTGATCAGTTTTTTTCTTAAGGACGAGACTAACTTGTCGGAGTAAATTGTTTTCTCATTGAAGATGCAATATTTTTTTCTTTTAAAGCAAAATGAAATATAGAAAAATGAAGATAGTGCCTTTTGGAATCCACCGCTTTAAAAAGGTGTTCTAAATTGCATCGCGAGCCGACGTTTCTATCCCCTCGAGGATCAATTATCGCGGACATTAGTTAGGCCAACAGCGTATTTCTAATTAGAATTCTGGATCGAACTCGCAGCGATCGTCGTAGCCAACGACAACGATTTTAAATAGCAAACGATCTCGTCGAAAATATAAGTGCAAGGAGGTGTTGACGCAGCTACAGCAGAGACAAAGAATAAGAATTTTGGAGGATGTTTACTTTTAAGGGACTACGAATAAAATAAACAGCGAAACGTTAGGTTAAGGAACGACTAATTCGAAAGTACCTCGACAAGCGCGAATTTTCATCGCGAACGACCATCTCGATGCTCGTTCGAGCCTCCGACGAGGAACGACTATTTTCCTGTATAGATAATGCGCGAATTAACGATATTAACGTTCGACGATCGTCTTCAATCGATGTCTAATTGTGCGTTTGTCCATTGTCCGTCTCTGTAATTACGTAATTGCTTTCCCGTTTTGTCGTCAATGGACTTTTGCGAGCGTAATGATGCACTCGACTGTGTGCAGAGAGAACGAAGATCGGAACGCGTTACGCGATCCGTGATTGGCCGGGCGAGCATGATTTTTATATAAGGGATATTTGTACAGAACCACTATCTTGTTTACGTTATTACATAAAAATATATTATATCTATTGTATTTCAGCAGGGGACGCAAGAAGCTGGGTAGACGCAGGCTCTCGGTGTTGCTCGTTTAAATTGTTCTCCAAGATCCTGCGTATTCCGCTTATTTATTTCACAGCTCCTTTTTCTTCCAACAGAAATTGATTTGCTTTCGTACTATTATTACTCAGACTTTAATCTAACGTTTCCTTTCGGTGGAATTACAAATAAATTGTTTTTGTAAGAATTTTTAAGAATTGAAGGTAGACATGGTAGACTGATTATGGTTGAAGAGAAACTTTAAATTTTATTTATGACATTCTGTAACGCAGAAAAATTGAATATGAGAATTTGTATTAAAAATGGCTCCACTTTTTGAGAAGAATGAGGTTCCCGTACCGAGCGTTGATACAAAACATGAAAGAGAAATTTTGCTCGGGAACTTGCTAACAGACGTCGCTAAAGTCGTCATGCACATCGATTTCCATTTACCCGCGTAACACTTCGAGGCTTTTTAATCTTAAAACTTCTATATCAGCCAACTATTAAGAAAAATTTGTTTATGCAACATTCATTTCTCATTCTGATGTTGTTGCGTTAACTTTATTTGATTTTAATTTCTAAAGAATAAAAAGCATCCTTCAAATTCGTTAAGCAACTCTGGCTCCAGTTTTGTTTCTCTTAACATCGGCAAATGAAAACCGCTTAGTTTTCATCGCAACAACTTGAAACATAATTCCAACTTTTTAATATTCGCAAAAGGAAGACTGTCGAACGTTGTCTGGCATTTTGAAAGAAGGAACGAGGCAAACTTTAAACTTAATAAACCTCAAGTAAAACCAAAGTTAAATAAACTACAAATTGTTTAAAACATAAGTACATAGTTAAATGTCAATAGAAATTTCCCGGGGCGTTATTTTTTCTTGAATTCTTTTTGAAACAGAACCTAGAACGAGCAAGGGGCTTTCACAAAGATATTCAACAGCGATCAAACGTAATCTGCGGCAACGTAAAACCCAAGGGAACATGGGACGTGTTCGAGCTGTCGACGACAGTCGATAATTGGATGAAACTCAAAACCACTCGACTGGGCTTTTGCCCTATTCGTTGTCGAGCAACGTTACCTTCAAATCGTCGAGCAACTTTGACGAAGCGATTTCAATCAATTCGTTCGGTAACTTCCTCGAAAATAAACGAATTAAACTAACATCACGTTCGAAACGTCGAGTGACACCAATTCGGATTGTTTCAATCGTATCATTTTGAAATGAAAAAACCTTGTAAAAACATTTTGACCTTATTTCGATTTGTCGATTATCAAAAATCACAATTTATTCGTATTCATTATTATTCTGCTAAGTGTGGGAAAAAGTTGCTATAGACGTAACCTAGAACGTGTACCGTCATCATTTTCCAGTTTCGAAACGAAAATTACAAAACGTGGTGAATGTTTCTCGCGAAACAGCAGCGACTGTGTTCGTGATTCGTTTTATTCGAACGTATGCATGAATCTAACCACTCTGTCGCTTTTATCGCATCAAAATTTCGACGGTGCACACATTCAAAAACAGTGTTTCTACATTTTCCACGCTTTCGTGTCTCCTGCCATGAATAATGCATATAAATGTTTGCTCTAACTTTGGCTCCACGGAAAAAAGTGTTTCTGAACGAAATTACATTCCCCGACAGGAAAAAGCGTTCCTCTTGTAGTAATATTTACGAAACAAATAATTTTTGAAAATACTAATTGTTAAAAGATATCATGATTTGGTCGTCTTGAACATCCCTCAACTCGAAAAGCGATTTTCTTTCGTCAGAAACCTTCAAGTCGGTTCTATATTAAAAGAAGCTTCCATTATCGTAAAAAAAAATCAGTACCCATGAATTTTGATTCGGAAAGCTCGACAGAAATCGATCCCTGCGACGCAACATGCTGTACAGAAAATATGAGAACGCAAGTTACAACCGGAAACTCGCGGTCCGCGCTCAATTCCGCCCCATCGAATCAGCTAAACGTCCAGGCGAAACAGGTTAGAAGAAACAAAATGAAAATGAAAAAGAAAAAAAATTGAAATAAAGAGAAGAAATCGTCACACGAATGCCTGCTCGATCGCGTGTTAGCATTCACACGGATTATTTTAACGCCAGGTTGCTCGCGATCGATCGTTAGTCCTGTGACCGTAATTAATTCCTTTAATAGTTTCGTTTCGTTGCTGTTTAATCGATCGTGAAGCGATTTCCTTGCCGGTGGCTCTAGTTCCCTGTCGCATCGATTATGCGCCACGGAAATCGCGAATCGATCGATTTACCAATTTTTATTTTGCAAAATCCACTCCTCTGGATAAACGTAACTTCGATATGAACCGCGTTCAGCAAACATACACGTCTGTTAATTCATACTTGAAACTTTCAGTCTCGTTTATCAACGAGACGCGTGACCACGAATCGAGTGGAAAAGTTTGCGTTACGAGGGAAGTATATCCGGGAAATCGAGTGTCTGTATGACAACGATAACGCAGAAGTTTCGTTAACGCGGTCGGTGCCGTGTGAATTCCATGGCTCGTCTAGTTTTTCGAAGATATAGAGAGTAATTTACAAACGCGTGAGTTTACAAACTCGTTTGCGAATACGCTTGCAAGTTGCTTCGCGAATGCATTTCACGCGCTGACTAAACCGAGTAAAGGTTAAAGAACCGTCGTCTGTCTAGCCATTTTTATCGTTTCTGCTTTGGATAAGTGCTAACAGCGCGGCCCGGGGCTGTTCTCCTTACGAATTGCTAGAGAATGGACTTGGAAAATTGCCTTCTTATGTTAGTGTAATGGTTACGGGGATGAGAAATGTTATTTGGACGACGTTTTTCACGTGGGCGATCTCGTTCCCAGGTAATGGTACCTTTAGAATCCAACGCGTTTCTTTCACTTCTTTTTTTTTCCCTTTTATTGGGTTGCGTTATAATTTTTATTCGAAACATTTTATAGCCTGAATATTAAAGGCATCCTCTTTATTTTCGTAATATACCACAAGATGTTTGAAAAACATAGAAAAATGTTTCGCGAGTGTCCAACATGAATATTCAGCGACACTTGAAAGCTTTAATGATAATCCAAAAAGCACGTCAGGGTTTAAGAAAATTGCATCTTGTGAAAGAGGATCTTGTAAGGAGGATGGAAATAAAGACACAAGGGGTGGAAAGCTGTAAGGTTAAAGGGAAACATGAGCCCCTCGAGTACACTGCCTTCGCACGCTCATCGAAAAATTTGTACATATTTATTACAATGTACGTGGCATTGTATTAGCATAAATTTACAAGTTTTACGCCCCATTTATCCCCCTAATATATGGCTTCTCATCACCTGAGCCAAACACGTTATCTCGTATTTTTCGCTTGATATTAGGGTAGTCGAGAACCGCTGTTCTTAGGGGGTGGAAGAACGTTTCTCACCGTTAACAAAACATTCCTTCTAAACTTTGCAATCCCGACGAAAGATTGTCTTTGTGATCGAGCGATGTCTAAAAGTCACCCTTCATATATCTCAGCGGAGATTCGATGAAACGAGGGTGAAAGTCTTAAAAGTCGATGTCTCGTTTTCAATTTTCGTTAAAAAAATTGTTTCGAATTACAGCGAACCTTAGCGGGGTAAATATTGACAGTAAACAGCTTCTTGTTACAACAATTTCCTGAGGGAAATAAACGAGCTTGAAACAGCAGCCCCCAGCCCTATTCAATCGCCACTCGTTAGTCAAACGCTAAAATTACTAAAATTATCATTTCAGTGAAAATTGAACGATTTATCCAAATATGAATTTATTCCTGCAGGTAAGCAACAAAAACGAGCATTAATATTGAAATGGACGAAATTGTTAAACCATTTACCGCGGCTGCATTGTTCACTATAATTAATCATGCGTTAATCGCTCTCTCATGGAATCTGCAAATATTCGCTCGGGACATCCTTTACAAATTAAATATTACCACAGCTCTCAAATATCTTCAAACTAATTATTCTACCGAACGAAACCAAGCTATCTACATATTTTATGTAATAAAATAAATTCCACCACTATGATTGGATATAATAATTTACACGAGAATTTTACAGAGAACCGGTTAATTTTTCGAATGATAACAATTTAATATCACCGAAATCGTTCCCAGCTGATTTCCGCGAATATAAGAGGAGGAAATCTTTCAAACCGACAGTTCTCCAGCAGGCATCATATACTTATTCGTGACACATATTTCGCGCCCGTGGGACGCTCGGCTGCATGCGAATACTTTTCTCCCGTTTTGAAGGCGCGAAATCGTTCCCGGTCACGATTTATGCGACCGTGCGTGAAACGCGAATCCATCGGACAGTTATAAATTCTCCTAACTCTTTCTACGAACGAGACGGAATTTTCAATCGCCTACTATGGTACTCTCCGGAGAACTGCTGTTTAAATCTTGCAAACCGGAGGTCTATTAATAATTTAGTATCTCTTTCAAAAATTTATACAATTTTATGAAAGTATTATTTATAGATAAATGTTTTTCCTTTTGGAAGAAGAATGTTACTTTAATGCATAGTAGTTAAAACAACTCTAAACTAAATTGTCCAGCTTTTGTCCTTCTCTTAATTGAAAAACCTAGTGATTTTCAGCTTCAAACTGGCGTCAAATCTGTTGGACGTAAACGTGTTGAATAGAATTGAGATACATAGGCGAACGCGCGTGTATGAGTTTCGGTTTCGGGGTTAATACGTCGGGACACGAGAGTGTCGCGAGCTCACCGGGTCGGCAACCTATGACACGCGAACCGATTTTGTACGGTTTCGCGGCGAACAGAAAAAAGAAAGAAAAAAAAAAAAAATCGCGTTCCACGGGATTGTTTCGTAATGCCAGATCCAATGGAAAAGCGCGTTGTTGAGTCGCGTGCGATCGTGTAATGTTCGCGCGTGACACACGCTTGATGCCGTATCAACCATGTTGGCGACGATTCGTTGATACGTGGCTAGCACGGTATTAACGATGATCATAACGTTCAATGTAGAGAATTTCTGCAACGTACATTATTCCCTTCTATTCAGATTTTTATTATTTATGAAATTCTTTGCGATGCTTTATTACCGGACCGATGCATTAGATTGTTTTTCAAATTTTTGTTCGAGCTAAATTTTAAAACAAATAAAAGCTTTCGAGCTGTTGGAAATTTCGAGGGTTCAGGTTGTCAGCTTGATAAAATGAAATAAGTCCGGTGGTCGAGTTCCATGTGGAGGAATCGATAAATCAAGTAAACCAACCTCAACCCTTTGGGTAATACTCAACAAATTTTTTGCACTTACATTTCAAAGCACGTAATCATCAATCGCCAACATCGTGGCCACTTCCTTTTCCCTTTTACCTCGGCAACGTTCAACGGCCTCGTTCTCCTAGCGTCCCGTCGTACACGCCAGATTTTCTGAAAAGATACACGCCGTTATTCATAGCCATCGATCACGCGGACGATAAATAGCAGTCGCATTAATAATCGCGTAATCGCCGCCTTTCTCAACGACCGCCTCGCTCGTGAGGAATTAACGTCAAGGGATTCTGAATCATCAACGGAGTATTCACCTTCTTAGGTGTAATTGAAATTCATCCTTAATTATGATCGCCGAATTTTATTGAAAAACAAAACTATTAGAATCCATAATCATCATACGTATTATATTAATTACTATGTTCGGTTCAATTACAAGGGACATAAGTTCAAGCTATATTCCTGATGAGGAGTTACAGTATGACATGCCTCTGTACATATATCCACGTAAGGGGTTGAAGGATATACGAACATAATTCCTGATGTATCGAGCTGACATGACATGCACGTGTCTCAGAATACGAACGTGGGTGGTAGCAGTGCTTGGAAGATGGCTCCTAGCTAATACATTACACGAACCACTATGTATCATGAAACATGTACAATCTCTGGAATATAATTGGAGAAATCAGGTGGTTCTTAAATCCAACCAGTTGAATATGGATCTAGGAAACAATTCTCGATGCGAATATTGAACACTTCAAAGGAACAACGCAATAAAAATGATCTCAATTTCAATTTTCAAGATCTGACATTTTTCTTTTATTTTTAAATTGCTCTTAGAGAAGAAGAATTTATATCAGTCCGGTGTTCCGGATAAGATTTCCTCAAATTTCTCACGATTACAACCGCCTCAAGGAAAAGTCTCTTATCTTTTCGGCTGTACCCGCAGGACTACTTAACACGGAGATAACACTCGAGGTAGAAGATCTCACGAACCGGGCCAGTTCTTCTTTTTCCGCTTCCTTTCGCGGCAAATCCGTATCAGGGCTTATCCTCGAAAATCAATTTTCCTTTCACGGTCTTAGCCGCGTCCAGTCCATCGAAATTTCACGAAATAATAGCCGGCAAACCCGCTCCACAGTCGACTCTATTTCACGATGTAACGCGTAATCTTCCGCTTTGACGAGCAGACAGCATTATTTTCTTACACGGGTTTCGTTCTCCAGTAATATCCCCCGGATTGGATTACTCGGGCTTTTGGACATTGTTAGGCAGATCGATTCGCGGGTTTCATTTAATGATCGAGCTGAATTTCGCACCCCCTCTATGCCCCTTCTCGTTCAGTTCATTTCCACCCTCGATTCAATACCTGCGAAATAACCGTAAAGCAACGGCTGGGATTAATTAAAAAGTTAATCCTGTTGATTGCATAAATTTTTTGCAAACCAAGGGAAAAAATAATTCGGGCTAGCATCCATCCTGGGATAGGCGCACGTGATCCCTGTTGTTTGCTTGAGGCTAGGTATACGTGGATTACTAAGTTGCGATCATTTTGACGAAGAAAGTTCAGTAGAAAGGAGGAAGTTCCTTCGTTATGCAGCTGTTAAAAGTTTCCTTTTCCTTTGGTTAATATTTTCAACTAAAGGAGAGATTAATTAATTAAATAGAAATTTGATTCCCATTAATTTTCATTAAATATACGATCATATACGAATTTGAAATGATAAATTTTTGTGCCTAATTAAAAATAAAATGGCAAATATTCGTGTATTTTTTCAGAACGATTCGCTTTAATACTACAGACGGAAGGCGAAATAGGGAGAGAGATAATATTTTTCGACGGACGAGGGACGTGACGTTCGGACCGCAACGATATTCGACGGCTGTCCCGTACGAATTAATGTCATTATTTTAAACGATTATTAAAATCATCGGATTTGCCGTGCCGCGGTAGGAATTGATTGGAATTTCGCTGGCTGCTGTGTCGGGAATCATTCCGTTTGAAAAGTATCGCGATAACGAGCCGCGAAATAATTAACAGACGTTCGATAAACGTGAATGAAATCACGGTATCTCACGTTTCTTATCCGATTTAATGCAGTCCATCCATCCATTTATTTAACTTTTATTCATGCGTTTCGGTCTCTCTTGAATGATAAAAAAAGAACGATTTAAAACGAACATGTATGCATCGATGAATATGATTTGAAAATTCATTCATTTGTACAGAGGTAACGATCATTTTTCTATGAAAATTAATCAAGGAAGTTTGTTAAAATTGCTTGTTCACTATGACCCGATCGCGTTGGATGAATAAATTAATCGCAACGTGGCTGCAAGCGAATGGTCTCACGTGTTTTCCGGTTGTGTAGGAACAGCAATTATCGGCGGCATACACCGGTCAGTCCCCTCGTATATTCGTTCCGGAAATGACACTGACCGTGCCCCGTTTCCTTCCTTCCTTCCTTCCTTCCTTCCTTCCTGGCTTCGTGGCTCTCCACATATCGCGCTTGTAAATTCGATCGGCCATTAACCTGAGACTCGATGGAAGTTTTACTACACGATTACCGGAAACGAAATTTTCATTTTCTTTTGTTAAGCAAGCAAATTTCCAAATGGATTTCTTCCTTCTTTAATTAAAATTTATATATACCTTTCAACTTTCTGACGTAAAATCACCACTTACCCGAATTCGACGTATCATTATAATGATATCAGCGACAATTAGAAGTGTTTTCGAGTTTGAATTCATCAGGCTGGTCGTCGGTGAGCATTAACCAGAAGAAATTATATGACACGGTGCTCGAAAACTTATCGAATCGTTAATTTTCCTTGAGCCCACTTCGAGCTTCCGGTAATTGGTAGACATCGTTCACGTTCGTCTCCTTTCCACTCGTCGCGTCGATCGAATAATACGCGCGAACGTTCGATTACGGAACGTGAAACCGCTATACATCGATTCTCATAAAACCGTATCGAAACGAGCCTTAACGAGTGATTTCAATTAGAACGGAGATAAACGACGAGGGAACAATCGCGCGACATTATTACTGAAAATGCTCGTTACCTCGTGAAATGCTTATTTCCACGAGTGCCACTCCGGCTAACGATCCTTTGTTATCGATGAATAATTACTTGGACGTAAAATACGAAAAGGTATTATCGTGAATTAACATTTTCGATAATCTGTTGCATTTCTTTACAATTACTCTAGAGAATACATGTTTGTACATTTTATTTTCTTCCGAATTTCGTGGCAAAATGAAACACGATATTGTTAGAGAGTAAGATATATAAACGTTCTAGAACTGTCGATATTGTATCGATAACGTATCGAAATTAATCCGTTTGACAGCGAAGGGTTGCACCGTCTGCCATCGGTTAATGCCGCTCGAGCGAAAAGATTATTGGAGCACGTGTCGAATGCAAGAACGCGTGTTCGACAATGCCGTCCAATCTCAGCCGCATACGTGATCGGTTTGGAAGCCCCGAATAGATCGATAATTAGTGCTCATCATCGAAATAGGTTTGTTCTTGTCAGTGGGAAATGTCTTTCCCGGTGTCTCCGTTCAATTTCGTCATTAGGAGAATTTGACGAAACGAGACATAGAAATTTCCTAATAGACCTAATTACGTTTAAATTTAATTTTCCTGATAATTATTCAGATTTTCCCATTTGTATTTTTGCGCCCAAAAAATTTGTTTAAAAATCGGCCGACGATAATGAACGGTCAGTTTGGTTAAAGAAGAAAAAACACGGTCCATTTTGCAGCGATAGATCGTCGTCAGCGGGTCGGGATGATTTATGCATTAAAAAGAACTCGAAAATCGATCGACCATTAGCGCACGCAGCCCGGAAATATTATCGGGACACGTGTTGCCAGGAAAGATGCGAAAATGAAAATGTTTCCGAGCAAAATGGTCGCCGGTGGACTCGATTATACCCGACGTTCCTGAAACGTAAATGCGAAATAACTTTGTAGCAAAGGTAAAACGTTTCGTGCACTGTGAATAAATATATGGACGCTGTTTATGCAGGTTTTCTCGGAGAAAATTTTCGCAAT